CAATTTGCGGCCTTAACAGGTCCTATAATAGATGGGATGAAGGTCAGGGGAATTCGGACTGCCACTGGAAAATGATGGTATATTGGATAGGAACAGAAATTTGGCCTTGTAACTGGTCACATACAGACCCTCAAGGAGGTGTTGAAAGGGTTCTTAACGTGCAGAGAGTTTGACATTCTCTATACTTAACGTCTACATACAAAATAAAGATGACCGTTCTCCATTTCCACTCGATAGAAGTGCCAAATTGTTTTACAACATTTACATTACTTACCAAAGATTATTATGTGAAAGTGTAAAAAAAATCGAGGCGGAGATTTATTTAGAAACAGCTTATAATTATAGCAGACTAAAAACGTAATAGAACAATAGACGAAAATGGCGCCTTCTTCAATTTCGAAAAAAATCTATAATTTTACTACTTATTGACACATATTGTTATTTTTTAAGGGATTGCATATCTAATTCAGGATTCACCTTTTCATGACGGTTTAATAAATATTTACTTTAATAACCGAAACTCTTCCAATTTCTAATTCAACCGACCTTGCTAGGAAAAACCTATACAAAGTTGAGCTCCCTACATTAGAATTTGTACAATTTTTTGCCCTGGTTTGAACACCCCTATTCCTTACGATTTTCGATGACAAAAACAAGCGAGAAAAGGAGGTAATTTTTTTTAGAAAATCGAAGGACTATATTTTTTTGTACCCATTTTAAATATCGCTATTTAATTCTACAGTGCAGATAATCGAAATCCGAATTTCTATGTTGAGATATAAAAAAAATAAGACTTCCTTTTATTTTAGTGTTCGAAAACGAAAATAATATGCAAACTCATATATTTTTCTCTTATAGATGTGCTTACAATCAACAGTATTTACCGTCTGTCCTTTGCCGTAAACGAATGAAAAAATTTTATAAAAGCTCGCCATTTTTCAGTTGAAGTCGGCCGATGCAAAATAGTCCAATTTTCGGCGTAGGACTACTGAGCGCTGCTGAATCACATTATGGCCAAAAAGGCACATCCGGTTGTCCTACTTAAACAACAATACGAATTCTAAAAATCCAGGATGAAAATAAGGCGTCGGTTCTTTAATTCAGTCACGAACCCGCGATGCCCCGGATATGGTATAGTATACTATAAAAGTAATGATAACAAATTACTTGTAACGGAAGGCACACATAAGCTATAAAAGTGAAGTGAAAATATTGATCCAGAATACATTGGGTGATTGGAAGCATCCATTCAGTCTATTTCAATACATTTTATTAGAAATTTATCAAAAACAATGTCAAGCATGAAAAATACCCAGAATACATTTATATACTAGTAGTCATGAATCTTAAAAGTCCAATCTATAACACAATGCATATTGTGATAATAAATTACAATCTAAATCAGTAAATAAATATAAAATTAAGGATATTTGGTATAACAATTTTGACAATGAAACAACTCTCTACCAGAGACCACATAAAACAGAAGTTAGCAAACATAGGTCATTGATCGGCCTTCAACAATGAGCAAAACCCATAACGCACAGTAAACAAGAAAAGGCACCGAGATGACAAATGTGTGACAATCCAAAAGAGATACTACACGCCCTTATTTATGTACATGTTAACCGATAAACGAAAAACGAATATAGTGTACAGCAACAAACGACAACCACTGATTTACAGACTGATTTAGAACAAGCAAATACCAAATATGCCTGGGTTAAACAAGTTTGCGGGTGTTCAACCCTGCCCTCACCTTGGAAAGTGGTGTAACAGCATAACATAAGAACAAACATTTAGCTTAGTTGGAAAGGGCTGAACTCATCAGACCGATACAAAAAACAACTTACAAAAACAACTAACAAAAACACAAAAGACACAAAGTGCAGATCTGAGAGTACTTGCAGCTAATGAGAGCTAGTTCAAACCAATAACAAACAATACAAAATCTGTATCTAAGACTAAATTTCATAAATGTTAATGTTATCAAAATGAATAGTACAATTTGTGAATTCCAACATATATAAAATTAAACTTCTATCATGATGAATACTCATCAACGATTTTTACATACACTAATCAACCTCTGTAGCAATGAATAATAATCTTAAATATACAACAGTAAATTTCTCCAATTGACCACAGTCATTTGATTACAAATGATAACATTAATGATCGAGCAAATGTCTAGATGTGAAACACAACAACAAAATAATTCTTACATTGTTTTAATTACATCACAATTATGTTGTCTATTCCTAGTATATAACTTGTATAAGTTAAAAAGTAATGTTTTTATGAATTGGTTTTCGGTGTGAGTAAATTAGTTTGCAAAATGCATTGAAGGCTTATTGAAATAAATTCACTTTTTATTCGAATATGAGAATGTATGTAGAAAATTTTGTTAAGCTTATCCATTTGAGTTTCTAATATTAGATACATCCATTGTTATTTCTTTACCATAGCAAATACACTTTAAAAATCCAGATTATATAACATATGAAATTAAGACTTCTTCATCATAGAATATTAGAACATTAAATATTGGACAATGTAATGAATAATCATTTGAATTTTATAACAATGATAATGCACTCTACGCAAAATTCATTAGCAAAAAATAAGTTTTCTTTAACATCACCAAACTTCTCTACTTTAAAATAAAATTAAAACAATACACGATGTGTTAGTCTTGCAAGAAATGGCAAAGGCAACATTTTTGTATGGGAAACCCAAAATATCAATCAGTTAGATAATTAAAAAAACAGATACACATCTTCATGTCCTTGTAGAAGAATCTGTTCAAGTTTCATGGAATTATGTCAAGCTGTTTGATTAAAAACCTAACATCAACAAACATTGCCTAGTCCATATTTTGGGAAACCCAAAAATTGCCAAAAAATCATTCAAATAAAACATTAACACCATAGCATTTTTGTAACTTCTTTTCTTGCCGAAGATTCCGTGCAAGTTTTGGTGAAGTGCCATGTCGTTTGTAAGGAGTTGTGTATTAACAAAGGGATCTCTATGCGTCAATACTGCTCCAACTGGCGATAAAAAAAAACTTACAGATTATACCTTTTTTTTCTACCAGAGTAGAAGAATAGAAAAAAAGATAAATAAAAAAAGAATCACAAAAAAAAAAAGATATCATGTGACATTTTTATCAAGGTTTATATCATTCTCTCTTACAAATTATATAAAATATCACATATAAACATTTAATCTTCTTTACAATGAAAACACACTTATATATATTTAAACCATAGATATAAATTGAAGCAGATGTGGAGTAAATTCATTGAGGCAGCAACCTAACGACAAAAGTAAGCAAAAATCATCTAGAGGCAACATATAGTCTTTACAAAGATACAGATGTCTGTGTAAAATGTGAAGCTCTTACTCGTCCCGAGTCGATGGCAGTTGTTAAAAAGTTTAAAGGAAAATAGTCAAAATATGTCATCAACACTCCATTCTCAAATAAAAAAAAAAATCGTAACGACATGGCATACGACACTACTAACGAGGTTCCTGACCTAGGAATGTGATGAAGTTAAACTAGTGAGGCCCCTCATGGGGGTGTCCAAGTGATCACATGAGCACACTTGTTTTGCCAATATAATCACATAATCATTAATTATTTTTTTTAACAAGATAATCAAATATTCAAAAATACAGTCCTTTATTATCAAATAATCAAATAATCATGAAATATTTGGTCTGGTAATCAAATAATCACTATAAAAACGGCCAAGTAATCACATAATCAAAAACCACATGAGGAGTTACGTGAGATCTCAATAATTCCAATTTGTTTCTTGATCAGTACACCAACAACACGTACAATATTACAAGTAACCTAACTCCTTTTCCTTTACAATACAAGAAAACTCTAAAAGCGATAATGAATATGACACATAAACATGATTTTATTAACATAACACATACTATTTTCTTAAATGGTGTAACTTCTTTAAACTGGAAACAGATGTTTATCTTAAAAGTCATAAACAAACAGTTCATTATAACTTTTGCCCATCAGAATATACATCACAGAAAAAGTTAAATACTTTCAATTATCTAGTTAGATTTTGTTCAGTATTTAAGTCCTACCTGAAATTATTATTATAACTTCTTACAAAAACTACTATTATTCCATATTTATATTATTTTAGTACATTTTCTCTTTAATAATTGGATTTTAGATAAAAAAACATATTCACCTGGAGAAAAGTAATATTCACCGCGCTAAACGCCACGCGCTTTTTTTGTAACGTTATGGTAAAATGTCTGATATACAATTGGTTTGCGTAAATATTTGACATCAAATACATTGTTTTCTCTCATAAAATGGAATAAAACAATAACTGTCTTTTGTTTCGGTACATATGTGGTTTAATTGACTTTTGAAAAAAACTGATATTCACTTCGGCTGTCGGCCTCAGTGAATATCAGTTTTTCAAAAGTCAATAAAACCGCAAAAGACAGTAATTGTATAACATCATGATGTCAGAAGAATGAAAAAAAAAATCCAATCTAAAAAACTAACATTTACAATACATTGACAACTTATGAAAGAAATATATTTACCAATATCTTAAATAACCGAGATACACTCTTCGTTGTACTGCTGACTGTTTATTGAACATACGATGTTATAGTGGTCCACAGTGGTAAGGGACTGACCAATTTCGATAGGACCTCAAAAAATCAAATTAAGATATAGTTCGTTCCGTCATAATTACCATAAATTGCAATTTCCACCAAATTCAAACAAAACATGCCAATTTCAATGCTATAAGAAACTGCTTGAAAAAATCTTTCTTTTTCACTTATCGAATGTTTGTGCATTACATGGAATATATCTGCGTTTAACAAATGGCTCTAAAATAAGGATCAAACTAGGGCCCTTCCTGCAGCTACTGCTTTCTACATTAATTCATGTGTATAATAACATACTTTTTCTGTATGATAATATCCATAAGACATCAGTACAGTTACCAAACATGATTGTCATATTTCTTATAATCTGCTCCTTTGTCTAACAACAACATTACTATTTCTGCATTACCATATTTACAAGCCATACTTACAGCTGACAGACCATTTTTGTCACATTTTGTATAATCTGCTCCTTTGTCTAACAACAACCTTAAAATATCTGAATGACCATCTATACAAGCAATACTTACAGGTGAACGACCATATTTGTCCCATTTTTCACAATCTGCTCCTTTGTCTAACAACAACCTTACTATTTCTGAATGACCATATGTACAAGCCATGATTAAAGGTGTCTGATCCTCCCTGTTACATCTATTACAATCTGCTCCCTCGTCTAACAACATCCTTACTATTTCTGTATGACCTTGCTTACAAACAATCATTAAAGATGATAGACAAAAATAAGGATGTATATTATCATCTGCTACTTTGTCTAACAACATCCTTACTATTTCTGTATGCCAAAATCTACAAGCCATAGTCACAGGTGTCTGATATCTCCTGCTACGTTCATTATAATCTGCTCCTTCGTTTAACAACAACCTTACGATTTCTGTGTGACCATATCTACAAGCCATCATTAAAGGTGACTGACTCCATTTGTCACATTTATTATAATCTGCCACTTTTTCTAACAGTATTATTAATATTTCTGTATGACCATGTATACAAGCCTTCATAATGAGCGACTGGCCATAACTGTCACATGTATTGTAATCTGCTCCTTTGTCTAGCAGCATTCTTACTATTTCCGTATGACCATGTCTACAAGCCACAAGTATAGGTGATTGACCCCATTTGTCACATTTATTATAATTAGCCATTTTGTCTAACAACGTTCTTGTCATATCTGTATGACCATGTATACATGCCTTCAGTACAAGCGACCGTCCATAACTGTCACATGTATTGTAATCTGCTCCTTTGTCTAACAACATCCTAACTGTTTCTATATGACCAAGTTCAAAAGCTATCATTAAAGGTGACTGACCCTCATCATTACATATATTACAATTGGCTCCTTTGTCTAATAAAATCCTTATGATTTTGGTATGAACATAGTAACATGCTATAAATACAGGTGACTGATCATAATTATCACATTCATCATAATCTACTCCTTTGTCTAACAACATCCTTACCATTTTTGCATTACCCTGTCTACAGTCCATCATAACGGGCGAATGGCCGAAACTGTTACATTTATTATAAAAAGCTCCTTTGTCTAATAACATTCTAACACCTTTTGTATGATAATGCATACCAGCCTTCAATACTGGTGACTGTTCTCTTTTGTCACATTTTTTTATAATCTTCTAATTTGTCTAACAACAACATTACTATTTCCGCATAACCAGATTTACAAGCCTTACTTACAGCTGACATACCATATTTGTCACATTTTTCATAATCTGCTCCTTTGTCGAACAACAACCTTACTATATCGGAATGACCATATGTACAAGCCACACTTACAGGTGAACAACCACATCTGTCACATTGTTCATAATCTGCACCTTTGTCTAACAACAACCTTACTATTTCTGAATGTCCACTTCTACAAGCCATTATTAAAGGTGTCTGATTATTAGTGTCACATTTATTATAATCTGCTCCTTCGTTTAACAGCAACCTTACTATTTCTGCATGCCCATTTGTACAAGCCATAATTAAATTTGTCTGATCACCATTGTCACATTTCCCATAATCTGTTCCTTTGTCTAACAACATCTTTACTATTTCTGTTTGCCCAAATCTACTAGCTATACTCACAGGTGAATGATTTCTCCTGTTACGTGTATTATAATCTGCTCCTTCGTTTAACAACAACATTACGATTTGTGTATGACCATATCTACAAGCCATCATTAAAGGTGACTGACCCCATTTGTCACATTTATTATAATCTGCCACTTTTTCTAACAACATTCTTATTATTTCTGTATGGCCATGTATAGAAGCCTTCATTACAAGCGACTGGCCATAACAGTCACATGTATTGTAATCTGCTCATTTGTCTAACAGCATTCTTACTATTTCCGTATGAGCATGTCTACAAGCCACCAGTATAGGTGATTGACCCCATTTGTCACATTTATTATAATTAGTCATTTTGTCTAACAACGCTCTTGTTATATCTGTGTGACCATGTATACATGCTTTCAGTACAAGCGACCGTCCATAACTGTCACATGTATTGTAATCTGCTCCTTTGTCTAATAACATCCTAACTATTTCTGTATGACCAAGTTCAAAAGCAATCATTAAAGGTGAACGACCCTCATCATCACATCTATTACAATCTGCTCCTTTGTCTAATAACACCTTTATTATTTCGGTATAAACGTAGTAACACGCTATCAATACAGGTGACTGATTATAATTATCGCATTTATCATTGTCTGCTCCTTTGTCTAACAACATCCTTACTATTTCTGTATGACCCTGTCTACAGGCCATCATTAAAGGTGAATGACCCAAACTGTTACATTTATTATAATTAGCTCCTTTGTCTAATAACATCCTTACACTTTTTGAATGACAATGCATACAAGCTTTCATTACTGGTGACTCTCCTTCATTTTCGCATTTATTATAATCTACTCCTTTGACTAACAATATCCTTACTATTTCTGAATGACTGAGCATACAAGCCATCAATACAGGTGACTGACCATAATTGTCACATTTTTCATAATTTTCTCCCTTGTCTATCAACTTCTTTACTATTTCCGTATGGCCATTTGTACAAGCAATAATAACAGGTGAATGACCAAAATTGTCACATTTATCGTAATCTGCACCTTTGTCTAACAACATCCTTACTATTTCTGTATGACCATGTCTACAAGCATTCATTACAGGTGACTGACCAACACTAGCACATTTATCATAATCTGCTCCTTTGTCTAACAACATTTTTACCACTTCTGTATGACCTCGTATACAAGCCATCAATATAGATGAATGACCATAATTGTCACATTTGTTATAATTTCCTCCTTTATCTATGAAATCTGTATTACTATATATATAAGCCATTAATTCAGGTGATTGTTGAGACTCGATACATTTACTAAAATCCGCTCCTTTGTCTAGCAACAGTTTTAATATTTTTGTATGACCAAGCCTACAGGCAATCATGATTGTTACATTTATCATAATCTGCTCCTTCGTTTAACAGCATACGAACTATTTCTGAATAACCATGTCTACAAGCCATACTTACAGGCGACTGATCTCTGTTGTCACATTTATTATAATAGGCTCCGTTGTCTAACAACATCCTAGCAATTTGTGTATGACCATATCTACAAGCCATCTGTAGTGGTGACTGACCCCATTTGTCAAATTTATTATAATCCGCTACTTTATTTATCAACATTTTTAATATTTCTGTATGACTATGTATACAAGCCTTCATTACAAGTGACTGCCCATTATGGTCACACGTATTATAATCGGCTCCTTTGTCTAGCAACATCCTTACTATTTCTGTATAACCGTATTCACAAGCAAGCATGATAGGTGACTGACCATCATTGTCACATTTATCATAATCAGCTCCTTCGTCTAACAACATTCTTACTTTTTTTGTATGACCATATTTGCAAGAAAGCATTACAGGTGACTGGCCATCATCGTCACATATATAATAATCTGCTCCTCTGACTAATAACATCTTTACTATTTTTATATAAGCATAGTAACAAGCCATTAACACTGGGGACTGATCATAATGATCACATTTATTATAATCTGCTCCTTTGTCTAACAACATCCTAACTATATCTGCATGACCATGTATACAAGCAATCATTACAGGTGAATGACCCAAACTGTTACATTTATTATAATTTGCTCCTTTGTCTAATAGCATCCCTACAACTTTAGTAAGCCCATAAATACAAGCCTTCATTAGAGGTGACTCCTCCCCTTTGTCACATTTATTATAATTTGCTCCTTTGTCTAACAAAATCTCAACTATTTCTGTATAACCATGTATACAAGCTATCAATACAGTTGACTGGTCATAATTGTCACATGTATTGTAATCAGCTCCTTTGTTTAACAACATCCTTCCTATTTCTGTATGGCCATTTCCAAAGGCACTCATTAAAGGTGACTGACCCAAATTGTCACATTTATTATAATCTGCTCCTTTGTCTAACAACATAAAAAATATTTCTGCATGACCATATCTACAAGCAATCATTAAAGGTGACTGACCCAAACTGCCACATTTATTGTAATCTGCCCCTTTGTATAACAACATTCTAACTATTTCTGTATAACCATGTATACAAGCCATCATTGCAGGTGATTGACCATAATTGTCACATTTGTATCCTACTTTAACTATCAAATCTGTTTGACCATATATATAAGCCACCAATTCAGGTGACTGGTTACATTCGATACATCCATTATAATCCGCTCCTTTGTCTAATAACATCTTGAATATATCTTTATAACCATGTCTACAAGTAATCATCACAGATGACCAACCATGCCTGTTACAACCATCATAATTTGCTCCTTTGTCTAATAACATCATTACTAATTCTGCATGACCATGTCTTCAAGCAATCATTACAGGTGACTGATCCTCTTTGTCACATTCATCATAATCTGCTTGATTGTCTAACAACATCCTTAAAATATCTGTATCACCATGTTTAAAAGCCATAAGTATAGGCGACTGACGTTTCCAGTCACATATATTATTATCTGCTCCTTTGGTTAACAACATTTTTACTATTTCTGCATGACCATATCTACAAGCAATCATTAAAGGTGACTGTCCATGAAATCTACAATCGTTTATGTCAACACCAAGATTGCAACACCACTGGACCATTGACATGTCTCCAATCGAACAACACTGTAGCATGACAGTGTCACAAAGAACCTCCACGTCGTATATACGTAAAACGTGTCTCATGCCTCTATAAGTTACTTTATAATTAGCGTCACTGGTATGTACTAATTGCTCTTGTTTAGATATATCCAATGTAGTCAAATAATACAGGAATCTTTTTCTGAAATGATGTATATTCATATTGTTGTTATTAAATAAATCCTGTAATTTTCCCTTTGACCAATCATTCTCTGCATGTACAGTTGGTGATACTTTGAGGGCACAATAGTGATAAACTGATCCATATTATCGTTTCTTTCCAGTAAAAACCTTTCTCGAATCAAACAGCTGTCAGCATTCTTGATCAAACAATCGATTATTTTCTGTCCAAAGTATTTAACTAGAAAATCGAATAATTTATCATGCATAGTTGAGTAGAAGCGTGGGCCTGAGTGTATTTGGTCTTCTGTCTCTAACAATGTATGCGAATGTAAAAGACAATCCATTTCATCTTTTAGGATAAGTCTTGAGGTTCCTCTGTCTAGTTTACAGGCCTCACACGTGTTCTCAATGACAGTCCTTGTTTCTTCACTAATGTCTTCTGTCAATATATGTTCGTTGACATGGTTGTTGAACATAACACATAAAGCCAAGGCGCAGTATTTCCCAAAACACCCTCTCTTTTGTAGCTGATCAACTTGTGCTTGGTAAAGTGAAAAAGGATTCTGGAAAAAGTCTTTTATATCAAGTGTAGGATTTTCGTGATATAATTGACATAAAAGTGGAAAACAATCATATAAACATAATAATCTGTAATTTGTTGAGCTTTAGTGTTGAGATATAACTTAGCTATTGCTTGTTTTTCAGTTTTTAACAAACACATGTTATCTGACAACAAATTACACACACATGACTTAAAAATAGATAATGTGTCAAACTTGTCATCTTGGTAAACTTGTAATCTACATGCTACAATTATTTTTGCTTTCTTAACTTCAATAAACTCTTTAATACGAACAATTACTGGTTCCCAAACTTTGATATCAGTTTGGTTTAAAGAAAAGTTTCCACATAAATCATCAATAACAAACAGTGTTTTCTGATTTGGATTGTAAAATTTGACAATGTCACCTGGATCTGTTACTAAAAGTATGTCGTATCCATCTGCGCTCATTTGTAAAGCCACGTGTCGTAGAGTGGCAGTCTTCCCGACACCGGAACTAGCAATAATAGTTACACAACTCTTCTCCTGTAAACATGACAGGACATTATGGGCTGCTCTAGAGTCTACAAACATCTTATCCTTGATTTTCCATTTTTCAAGAATTTTATTGATTTGTGCTACAAAAAATACTTTGATTTAAGTTCACAATATCATGGATATTCAAGTTAGCGTTGTTGATATAACTTAAACGAATAAATCTATATCCATTGAAACGAAACATACAAATTTCACCGCTAAAGATTCACATGAAACAACTACAGTTCGAGAAACAATTCAATAATCCTGTTGGTAGGTGGATTGTGGAGGTATTTTACTTTGTGGTTTAGTTTTATAGCATACGATAAGATAAGTGAAGGTTAGAATGCATGTTAAACTAATATTAACTAACCACATTTTGAGCTAATATAAAATCAGACTATTTGGACAATGTGTTGTTCGTTGTTATTAGCCTTTGTTTACGTAGTAGTCGTAGTCGGGCATTTGTGTTTGTGTTTGTTGTATTGTCAAATAATTTAGTAATGCCAGTTATCCGTTTGTATCACTTATCTGTAACTAGAAGAATCCAATGGTACAATATTATCATCCATAGTATATACTTTAATTCTAACACCTGACATCTTATCTTTTTATTTCTAAAGTTCAAACATTTCAATCTGAACTCCCATTATTTCCAATAATATTCTACATTAAAATCTGATTCAGCCATTTAACGTTACCACCTAACTTCATAGTGGGTTACATTAAACAACTTAACACTACAATTTGACCTTCTTTTATAACCTTACATTTTCACCACTAGCACTTCTAATTTTTTACCTACTATTGTTTAACTCTAGGTTATAC